TTATTGACGTGGACTGTGCGGAGAGAGATGGGTTCGACGAGGTTGATCGGGTTTGGTTGGAGAGGCTTGCTGGGTTGCTTGCGGGGGGTTGTGATTGGTAGGAGTGGAGATGAAGATACAGGGTGAAGAGGGGGGTGAAGATGAGGATAAGGACGAGGATGAAGAAGAAGATGAGGATGAAGACGGGGAGATTGGATGAAGTGATTAGAATGAAGAGGGTGGTAAGAGGGTGAAAGAAGGGAAATGATGAGTTGGGGCGGGAGTCTCATGGGATCAAAAGAGAGGAACGGAAATCGTCTGCGGATGAGAGAGAGAGAGAGAGAGAGAGAGAGAGAGAGAGAGAGAGAGAGAGAGAGGAAGAGAAGATGCGGATTACTCATGGCATTGGATGAGAAAAGGAGCAAAAAGATTTACACGGAGTTGGCGACAACAGGCACCCGACGGAAGGGACACGGAGTTATCTCAACATAGAATCACTTGTGATGTTGGTCACAGGGCAGAACATATTGGACTCAACAAAATATATTGAGCAACGCTAGAGTCAACCTCTGCGTCTTACGACTAAAAACTTTTTAAAAACTTTTTTTTTGGGTTCCCATCTATTGACATTCCCGCCAAACATTCTCCCTATCCTTTCCATCCCAAGCCCCCGCACCCGCCCTCCCCCCATGAGTTCATGAATCCATGTCTTTTCGTGGTTTGCGTTATATTCACACGCACGCAGCATTTACTCGAGAGCCTTCTTGGCAAAGTTGGGCAGGACGAACGCGGCCTTGTGGATGTCGGCGTTGTAGTACTTGCACAGCTTCTCCTCCTCCTCGGCGGACCACTTGCGGAGGGGCTCCTTGACGTTGCGGCCGGCGTCCTTGGTGCAGACCATGAAGCCGATCTGGCCGCTGGGGTAGGTGGGGATGGTGGTGTAGGCGTACTCGGCGACGGGGAAGATCTCCTTGCAGTCCTTCTTGAGCTTGGAGATGAGGGGCATGTGGAGCCACTGGTTCTCGGCTGTTTGGTGTATGCTGTTAGCTAGTCCTGGTCTCTAGATTTAACAGTAGAGTCGTCAAGAATCAAGAATCAGGAGCGCCTTCCGACAGAGAGTCAGGCTGAATGAGCGCCGACAGAAAAGGGGGAGGAAGGAGGATAACAGTCTCGAGTAGGCGCAACACTTTGAAAGAATAGACAAAGGAGAGTTCAAAGCGTATCCAGGTTCACACAACCCAGTCTCACCGGCATGCCACTGGGCATTATACCGGTATCTCGTAGGGAGAATCGAGGACAGGCCCAAAGAAAGATGAAGAAGCAGGCAACGCTACTCGGTAGTAGTGGTGTCTGCGGCGTTGTCTTGTCTTTTCTTCAGAGACCCGAGACTTCCTTGATTCCCCTCGATATTCCTGAACAAATGGGAACGTACAACCTTGGGTAGTGATGACACCGCCCTCCCTCAGGGCGTCGTGGAGGAGCTGGAAGTAGGGCTTCTGGAAGAGGGACTCGGCGGGGCCCTCGGGGTCGGAGGAGTCGGTGATGATAACGTCAAAGGTGTTCTTGTACTCCTCGAGGAACTTGAAGCCGTCGCCGACGTGGGTCTTGGACTTGGGGTGGTCGAAGCCGACGGCCATGTTGGGGAGGTACTGCTTGGACAGGCGGATGACGGCCTCGTCAATGTCGCAGAGGATGGCCTCCTCGACGCACTCGTGCTTGACGACCTCGCGGAGGACACCGCCGTCGCCGCCGCCGATGACGAGGACCTTCTTGGGGTTGGGGTGGGAGTTCATGGCCAGGTGGGTAATCATCTCCTGGTAGGAGAACTCGTCACGCTCGGTGGCCTGGATGACGTTGTCCAGGACCAGGACCATGCCGTAGTCGGTGGACTCGAAGATGAGGACATCCTGGTACTGGGACTTCTCGTGGTGAATGACCTTCTTGACCTTGAGGGTCATGGCCTGGCCTGTGGCAGGTTGTCAGCATGCCCGGCGTCCTCTCATCCTCACGATGCTTGGGTTGAGGGGGTGTGGGTGACTTACCGGGCCACATGTTGGAGATCTCACGGAACCAGCCATCTGTACATCATTTCATCAGGTTAGCGCGAGGTCTCGACTCGTTCATCTCATTTGTTTCCAAAAAAGGGCATCATCTTGTCGCATCCACTTTTGTCAGTCAGTCTGTCTGTGTGTTCTGTGTCATTGCCGATCCCGAAAAGTGCCGTGCCCGGAGCAGCCATAAGCCGGCATATTTGCAATGTACAAATGTCGCCTCAGCAAGAGAGGTATGCCGTATTCAATAAACGATCTGCAAAACCAAGAGACGAGGTTTCTCGGTTTCTCCTGACGAATTGCTTAACCGAAAGTGGCATGAAGAATAGCGCATGCGCGCTCAGACGGTGGAGGAGCCAGGGCTGAAGGTGTTTTTAGGGGACCCGGAAGAGGACGGATAAGCCACCCGTCAATAGTTGCGGGAGGTTTCGTTGGCGATTGACCAGGTGCAGGCAGTCCGCACGGCACAAAGTCCGTCTGCCAATTGAGCCAATGAAGGGGCCCGCTTCCCGGTTGCGATATTCTCCGTCTTCCGTTGCGTGGGCTCTTAGCGAAGAAACCCCCCCAAGGTTCCCAAGGGCCCCAAGGTGACGACAGGCGGGGTGCTCAAGACGTTTTTTGTATGGCGGGGTATTCTGAGACGGGTGCGTACAGAGGTCGGAAGAGCCAGTAATGAGCATCGACCAGCAGGACAGAGTAATAAGTAGCATACACCCAATGCCAACGATAGCAGACGGATGCCGGGCAGCCGCAGACAGAAAGGCAGACAGACAAACAGACAAACACACAACAACAGACAGAGATCTGCTTGAGTAAGGGAGGGGAGGGATGGATGGATGGATGGAAAGACGGGGATTGGACCGCACGAACCTTGGATGGTAGGATGGGCAATTTCGCTCATTTTGACGGTAGACGGGGGTTTGGCAGGGCTACTGTGTAGATTGTGTAGATATCGACAGGTCGGCAGAGGCACAAGCAATCGAGATAGATGATGCTGGTGCAGGCGTAGTAGTTGAGAAGGGAGGGGTGTTATATGACGAAGAAAAGCCAGGATGGAAAAGTTGAGATTGTCTGATATCAAAATGTGCGTTGACGTCGTGGGAGAGAAGAGGTGTTGTGCTGGTTGGCCTGCCGATGTGCGGTGTGTGCTGGGCCTGCAGAGAGAGAATCTGTACCAGTACCCATGGAAGGTGCGCGCGCGCTCCCCCGCCGTCAACAAGCGTTGGTGCGGGCAAGGCGAGCGAAAAAAAAAAAAAAAAAAAAAAAAAAGGCGCTGCAAGAAAATTTTTGTGGCTCCGGGGGTGGCCTCGTTTTGAAAATTCGGGGCTCCAATTTTCCAGTGCATCACGGACAACTCACGGTGAGGCCTATTGGCTCGTTGGCCAAAGCCCACCAGATGGCACTTTGAATGGAGCATCGAGATTTCCTCAATCTCTCTCACCATCACCAGACGCACTTCGATCCTGTTCATGTCAGTGCGTCAGTCAGGTTCCTGACTCTGCCCACATCAGTGTCTTAATACCAGCACAATACATTCGTGACCTTGCCTTTAATTGCCCTGCCAGGCCGAGCACGTCCGTCGTATTCGACATTGTCAACAGTAATAATACCAACCAGAGTCATGGATCGATCCATTATCCGGGTGCACACAAATGCCATGTTCCCATGGCTCTGGGTTGAACGATTAGCAATCCGACCTGGACGATTGACAGCCCAGAGATTCCCAGACCGTCCATCCCTTCCTTCGCGGGCTGTCTCACGAATGCAGCCTGTCAACCCCATGTGCCGGCCCAACTCTTCCTGCCCAGTCGGTCCGTTGCACACCAACAACGACGCTTATCGCGAAGGGAGCACCTGTCGGCCGGTGCTACCGACGACACGAAGCCAAACCAGGATTTCATGCTTGTGAATTTGGAACCGGGAGTCTGAGTCCTCTGGGCTCTCGGACTGAGCCTTGTCCAGAGCTTCACTCCGACCTTCGTCATCGGCTTTGCGGGCCACTTCCCAGAGTCAACAAGCCCTGAGGGAATTATCCGCTATCCGCTGCTGTACGCATACTACAGGCACGGAGAAGGAATATGCGGCGTACGACGTGCGACGTGCGACGTGCCTTTGCAGAAAACGTGGCGAGCCAGGATCAACAGCCCAAACCTCTTTGGTTTTGTCCCTCTTTTCCTTTTGGCTTCTTGTCCCTTCCTCTGCGTCTCTCGCTTGCTGCTTGCTGCTTTTCTTGATACTGAACGGCATGTCAAATCCGAACAGTCCCCCACAGACCTCGCCTCCCTGCTCCACCTGCTCACCGGGAATCAACAGCGTTCATGTCTCGCCCGGTTGTCGCCGGATCAAGACAGTAAAGATCATCTCTCCACCACCCGTCAGATGTAACAGCTTATTTGGTTTTGACAGCCCGCCTACTGATAGACGAGACGAGATGAAACGGAACTATCCTTTTGCAACTGGGTATCCGTAGTCAAGCAGATAGTGTAGGTAATCCGTACCTAGGGATCCGTACCCTATGAAGTCAATACATCAGCCTGCCCTAGAGACCGTGCTGAGGTAGTAGGCTGCGATGGACCTTACCCAGACAAAGTCAAACAGCAAGTCTTCGGACTTTGGTAGTCGAGGCTGAGGAACTCGCCCACAGATGTTATCCACAGCAGGCTGGGTCAGTTTGGCGAGCTAATTGACAAGTACGCTCACTAAGCGGTTCGATTCTTCAGCGGTAGCGAGACACAACCCGAAGAACCTGCCTGCCGCCTGAGAAAAGACCTGCGCGTGCCGGGCAAGAATTGGCTGAGCCCAGCCATGAACCCTTCGCCGATGTAAAGATATAGGCCCGACATGGGCCCATCCTCACCTAAGTCCATACAAAAGTACGCCTTTCCCGTTTCTCACCAATGCCATGGTTATTTTCATGCTGCCGGCCGCCGTGGTTTGCACCAGCTGCCGCGATCGAGCGACGGCCTCGCACTACGTGCCGAGGTCGAAAGTTAGTAACCTTCGGTTATGCAAGACATAGAAACCCACTGCCCACTGTCTCCAACTGCATCGCGACTGTGCCTCTTTTTGTCCCTTGCTGTACATGTCGTTGAGTATGGGTGTTGGAAAAGAAGCAGGAAACTTTGCAACTGTGATACAGCGTGTTGCAGGCCATATCGTCTCATCTCTCCTGTCGCAGCCGCCATCATCAAAGAACCTTCTTATCGGAAAATAAATGCCAGCTTGAAGGTCTGGCATCTTAAGTGTAACACAATGTTCAGCCTCCATCACCTCAGCTCCCTCAGCTTCCCCTACCCACCAGGAACGAGGGTGAGAGCGATGGGCACTGTTAACACAATGATCAGCAATCACACACCAAAACATCGTCTACCATCGCAGTCCTGAACCCATCGATGTTGCTTTGATCCTGCATGAACCATAATCGCCTGTGGCAGGGCCAGTCCCGAGACCAGACATGAGGGAAAAAAAACTCTTTCATAACATGCAACGTCTCTACCGAGAGCGGTGTCTGTAATATCCAATCGAGTCCCATTATGGCTGATGCAATGCCATGCCAGACGCCGGTGCAGAAACCTTGAACCCAATTGGGAGAAACAAAACGTTTGGTGCGGGATGCTAGTCCATGCGGTGCAGCGCGTGACAGAGCTTCCCATTCCAAAGTTTACTTCAAAGTGTTTGAGGTCAATCTGCGGGCACTTCTGCCTCTCGTGGAGTCTGGTTGTACCTGTTGCTTGCCTCCGGGGCCCTGTCCTGTGCGACTAACCCATCTAGCGGTTTTCTGTCGTCCATCATACCACTCCTTCGGATCGCGGCTTGCCATTAGACGGATCTGAAAATTAGTTCCACCATCCTACACGCCATCTGCTCATTCGACTACTTTGCTTTACCGTCGTCTTTGTTGCCCTTTACACCGTGATATAACCGTCTGAGGGGTGGTCTGGCGGGGACCTGTTCGTTCAGCCATATTCATTCTGACCGCCCGCATCCGGCAGGGACTTCGTCGCCACGTGGTGAAAGGCGCTCTCGTCAACAGGGCTTCTTGAGACGTCGAGACCGCACCATCTCGGGCGATGTCAAGAGTAATATGGGCTGATATCTTTGTTGAAGGACTTGCCCAGTTGTGCTGGCTCTGGTAAAGCCTTGGCCGTTGCTTCTACAAGGCAGAGAGCCTAGCCCTAGGGCCCAAGCAATCCTTGAAAGCTGCAACAAAATTTCCGGCGGCGAAGTACTCGATCTTGGTGTAGCCTCCGTTGGACTGCGGCTCTGGCGCGGACGGCAGTCTTCTTGCAGCGCATCTGAGTCCATTCTTGCTCCTGTCAAGTCTCCGAGAGGCAAAATCTAAGATGTCCCGTCCATTTGGTCCAAGATCTTTGTAAGGTCCATGCTCGCGTTGCGCCAGCTACTTCTCGAACATATTGGGCAAAGCAGGTGCGGCTCAGGAAACGTGCGTTGATCTGGCTCATCGACGTTCAAGGATCCCCGTCAGAAAAGCCACGAGTTGTGCAATCCATCCACAAACGGCCCCCCTGTCGAACAAAACGAGCTGCTCCTCTCATCCTTGCAAGAGCCACGCCAGGAGGCCCGGGATCATGAAGAAGGATCCCAGCCCACTGGAGCATTCGTTTCTGCGGGACTCTTCCGTCGATGCTGCAGGTCCCCTTTAGCGGCCCGCAGAATCAGCGCTCATTTTCCCACTGGAGCCTGCAATGCTGATCTGAATTATTGTTGGGGAAAAGTCTAGCAGAATGCGACCCTGGGGCAAGACGAGAGACTGCCAGAGTCGTGTTCTACTGGCGGCGTTGCAATTGCATGAATCAGGGGGTGACATGCTTTCCCCGAGAGCGGACGTGTTCGGCCAGGACCCCCGCTATTCGAAACGAAAAGCTGGCATCATGGTTGTGCCATGCGTTGGAAGAAGGCTTGACTGCAGAGAAAACATTGTTACCTATCGAAAGCGGAAGCATTGGCCAAAGCTCTTCGCGGATAGAATGTCGTCGTATGGCAGATGGAGGAAGGTCCAATACTTGATGTGGCTGCGTGGCGAGCCGCTAGATATGGAAGCAACGAAAGAGGCGTCGTCGAGTGGGGACGTGTTTCCGCAAGCAACATGTAGCGATGACCTGCTGAAGGGCGAGGCGCGAGCTGGCTACGGCTGCGGGTGCGACGGCGGGTTCGCGCACGAGAAGGAGGCAGACGAAGAGCTCGGTCCACGAGGCGTTTCCGGAGTAGGGGCTCAATTGGGGTTTTGTGGCAGCGATCTGGTGTCACGCAGGGGCCTGGAGGATCGAAGTGGCTCTGTCTTTCCGTCTGTTGTGTGGAATGCCACGATGACGCTCCATACTGAGAACGGATACTCAGCCAAATTGAAGGCTCAACTGGAGCCTTTGATTGATGCGCTGCCCAGGTGTTATTTGACAGCACAGCCAACAGCAACTGAGCCATTGATTGGTCCATGGTGTGAACGGGATGGCCGCGGATCTGTCGCAGTCCTATGTTGATTGTGGGCGGAGCCCGTTAATCTTTTGAGTTTGAAGCATATCGAACAAGTCTTTGAAGGTGGTGTAGGTATCCGCAGGTGAGGGCAGGATGAGACAGGCGACGCGGATTGGGGTGGTGTTTTGGCGGCAGACCAGACGGTTCGAGGTTGAGAGTTGTTGAATCGACGCGGCCATGTGCCATTGTACTCTGAATCTGCAAGAGTCTATTGGCTTTCGGCTTGTTTGCTGTGACCGTTGGCTTCTCTCCTTGTGCATGAAGTTATGAGGCATGGCAGTTTGCAGCTCGCAACCTGCATTTCTGGGACACTCCGGCCCAACATTGTGCATGCGAAAGGGTGTGCGTCAAACCATGACATAGGTCTTCTTCGAAAGCACGTCCAGACTGGCGACTAGAGATTATTCGAGTGGCTGCTAGCACCTAGGGAACTCAGCCAGAAAGCTTACGTTGTGGCTGCTGAGAGGTAGGTATTCGATATATAGATGCATTTGTGGTGCCTTGAGGAGCATGACATGAGTGTCGAGAGGGTTGTGAGGGTCGCGTGCGAAGCACTGGGGGATGCGGCGAAGTCGATCCTCGATGAGGGTCAAAGAGAGGGCATTCATGAGATGGTTCGTTCGGCTGGGTCCCGAGGAACTGTCCGGCTCCGAGAAGAAGAAGAAGTAGTTTCAACGAGCCATTGGATTGGTTGAGCGACGGATGAAATGTCTGAGATGATGGCGGACTGAATATCTGACCAAAGAGAAAGAGGTATCAGAGGTGGTGAAGCCTGAAGACGGCATTCGTAGCTTTGCACAGAGGAGACGAGGATTGGCGTGCCTTCATGCCTGTGTACTAAGGCGACCGGAGTCACTGGACAGTGGACGGTGCGACGGGGAACTGGAGGTGGCTTGCTTTCTAATGCAAGTGCAAGGAAGGCGCGGACAGACTTGAGAGTACCCCAGCACAAGTAGCTGCCAAGTCTCGTGAGCTGCAATTCTGCGGCAAGAGCGGGCCGGGATGACAAGACGAATCAGACCGGCGATACAAGCCAGGTACGTCAGGAAATGGACCCACTTGCATCCCGTTCTTCTCTTGCCTTAGGTGGAAATCTAGAGCAAGGTACGTACTCGGGACATGCAAGTTGAGGCAGGTACTGCTACCACCCCGGCTCAAGAGTTCCGCATGTTCCTGTTCCCGCTCTCCTGTTCATGTCGCATTTCTTTTTCTTTTTTGCTTTCCAACGGATAAGCTATGCTGCAGCTCTAGCTCTAGCAAAGGTCTGTTGGTTAGAATGAATTCGGTCATACGGGTACAGCGAGGTAGCATCGAAGGTGGTCGGACTGGCATTCCATAGAGTCAGGGTCGTGATCGACGTCGTGGCGGTGGTGGTGGTGGGCGTTTGTTGTGCGGCTATTCACCTTTGCAGTGCAGCAGTTCAGAGTCTACTCAGTACTACCACAGTACGCCATGCATGGAGGAACACGGGTACAGAGAATAATCATTCAATCTGGACTAGATAATCCATGCTTCCATAGACACAGCAAAGTCGCATCAACCCTGTTCTGCTTGCTTGCCCATGCCATTGCCAGGAGTCAAGCCCAAGGACAAGCATACGTACCCATACCCCGGACCAGCAGTTGCGTGACTCTCTTTCCCGTCTAACCAATGTACGAAGCGAGGTACCTTTACCCTGCCTGACCACCACAAGGTACTTTGCGTATCCAGCCGTCCTCGGTTCATACCTACTCTATCCGTACATACCATGGCCACGGCAAGTGATGGAACGGGGCACGATGGTACCTTGTCAACGGAGACCATCGACGGAGGCAAGGACGAGGGAGGCACGGAGGGTACCAAGTGTTGACAGCTAATGAAATTGAATCAGGTAATAAGCACATAATGTACTCCGTACCTTACGGATACCATGAGGTGAGGAGCATGGAGCACAGAGCACGGAGCGCTCCAGATGAATGAGGTGAGGTGACTGAGCAGGTCCCAGGTCCCAGGAGCAAGAGCAGTAGGTAGTGAAGAGGGCGGTACTTCATAGTTTGCTCTCTGTGCGTGCGTTTGGGTACCAAGTATCCCCGTACGGATACAGCACTTTGGCTTGTTCTTCTTCTTCTGCTGCAGAACAACCTGTCTGCTTCGTCTACTTCGACTTCTCTTTCTCGCTCTCTTCCTCCTCTTCTCCTATTTGCTTCCAATCTTCCTTCCCCGTTCCGTGCGTGTCCGCCGTCTTCCTCGATCCTTCTCCCAGCACTTGGCTACCCTCATCACATCAATCTCGCTTGGTCATCACCAACATAGCTTAACAGCCTCTGTGTGTCACTGTCACGTCTCGTCTCGTCTGGCCTCAGCTTCTTGTCTGCTCCTCACATCATCGTCGCCATCGTTCCTTTCTCCAATTCCTGCGCTAGCCCGTTAGTTCTCTCCCCTGACCCGCCATTGGCCTCGCTGGGCAGCAAAAACACCTGAGCAGGAGGATTAACATTAGCAACCCGCAGCTCACCGGGCGTCCGCTACGAACGCCCCCTAGAGTCTTAGCGGTTTTTGTTTTTCTCTGACCTGCCAGCGGGAACAAGAACAAAACCGACAAAAGCTTCCTCTGCCCACTCCCGCCCGTCTTATTCCTCAAACCTGGACCTCCAAAAGGTGTACAGCCAGAGACAGGCACGCCGCAGAGCACTGCACCACCACACCACACCGCACCGCACCGCACTTCATACCTACGGGCAGGCATTGCATTTCGATTCTTCTACCCACGCCGTCCGCCCTCGCCGTCGCTCCCGTCGCCTTGTTGTCTCGACTCGACTCGACTCGACTTCCAATCTCTCTTTCCCCCCATCCTCCCCGCCTTGCGCCTTGCGCTTCACCTGCGTCACGCTGAGATTACGATCCAAATCGACCCTTTTTCTTCCATCCCGGCCCGGTCAACCTCTCATCGCTCTTATCTTCGTCTCTTCGTCTGATCTTGCCGACCTTCAACGCCCTCGGACCATTGCGAGACCGTTCCAATCCTACCTGGACCTCGACGCGAATTCCTCCAAGAACCCTCCTCCCCGGAACTAGCTGCTCGCATTTCTTCTTCCACCTCGTTTTCGCCTTAGACCGTTACCATCTCCACCGGTCCGCCTCATTGATTGTTTCTCGGTTTCTGCCCACACTTTTTTCTTA